CACGGCCGGAGACGCCTGACTCAGATCCCACGGAGTGAGAGTGGCTGGTGTGGCCTGAGCCTACAATTACGCGTGCCACCAAAGCCCACCATGTTTGGCCTACACAACCTGGTCAGAGCCTACACTTGACCGGGATTTCAGTATCAGTATCAGTATCATTTTATTGAGGGAAAGATAGGCGAACGCCTTTGAACTCCCTGTTGGTAAAAAGGTGATAGGAAATAAGTTGATACAAAGAAAGATTTAAAATTTACGTAAATTACATGTTCCGGGAATACATCAGAGTAAAAAGTTCACAAAATATAACGGGATAGGGGCAGCAGCTTCGATCCTAGTCAACACAGCCTGGGCCTCCACGTCACACACGAACACACCCCATCATACCACAGCTAACTAAAAGCAGAGACACGTGTCCTCCCTACATTCTGTTGTCACATGACGTGACCAAGGACGCTTTGATGTCTAGGTCAACCAAATTTAGACGGTAGTGCCAAGCGTACAATTTATCCAATATGAAAAAGTTATAAATGGCCTTGCTGGGGCAGGGTGGGGGGGGGACAGGGAAGTGTGACGGTGGATGTCCGAATGAAGGCTTCTTGGTGGCCTTGTGAATTAGGCTATCATATGCGAAATCGTTTATAAACAATCTAAATGTCGCAGGTCTCTTACTGTTCCAGAGAGCGCAAGGGTAACTTACCTGCGTCGGCTTGAATTTACTACCTATACCCAGGGCCACCATATTCCGATAGCAAGGCAGGATTAGAAATGGTCGTGGATGCTCAATGACTACCAGGACGGAAGTCGCGTCCTGTTGACGAGCCGAGCTTCGAAGAATTGGCTTTTGGGCCTCTAAACGAAGGGGTTGTCGCGAAGGTCACAGTAAGTAGGAGCTACTTTCAAGAGGGAAGAACCCACCATTAGCTCTTAATTAAATGTCCAATAGGTACGGTTTACCAAGTGGATAAGGGTTCCTTATACGCAATACCATAGTTTTCTATAACACAACCACTTACTTAATTCATTGTACTTTATTGTTTGTTGCTTATTTATTCATTACCTAGTTTTATTAGATTCAATTTAGTTTATTTTAGTTTTTCATCAGTTTATTTTAGCGTTGTTAGTTTAGTTTTTAGTACATTATCCGGTTTTATAAACTCTAGTTTAGTGTTTAGTTTAGTTAGTTATGTTATAGTAAACCATGGTGTTGCATATATAGAACCCTTACCACCGAGTAGTTTGGGGAGGCGTCATCGCTGACCAGTTGTGTACACTTTTTTCGGACCGATATACTTAACAGTAAGTATTCCTCCTGCTCAGACAATCACAGTCTTACGCTGCTTAGATCCTTATAGAAGCGGTGATCGCCCATGAAGTCCCGGTGTGTTTCTCTGTTCTCTCGCATGGTTCTCGCCTAAGTTACACTTATTTACAATTTAGAAGGTCGATATTTTACGTAGGCTTATCACTGCGCGGACCTCATAGCTGCATATTTACCGTTGATAAATTATAAAGCATATTTTTTTAAAGTTGCGACTCTACAGGAGGCTTCTGTAGAGTTGCGACTGCAATCTACTCTTTCCCTGCCTAAATGCGTTCACAACCCCCCCGGTGGATCGCGTTACGCCAATCGGAAGCACAGTCTATTCATAGGAATCATTAATTATAATATTAACTACGTGGTGGAAAAATACTTAAGCCCCCCAACCACCCCCGGAGTTGACTATTTCGATCATACACTACGCAAAGTGAAACCCCAAATGGCCGTAAGCTCCCGATTATCCGTTTGAGGAGGGTCGTCTACAAGAGCCACAGAGGTGCCCCCAACTCCCTCTGTGCCAGCAAAACATTTGTGTTAATTCCTATGCATGTTTCTATTTATCCGCACGACTGGTAATTTCGCTACGAAATTCAGTTTTCACTCTGTACGAATGAGACCCTATTGATCAGTTGCGTACTCCTGGCTCGGACAGTTGTTATGCTATGCTCACCTATTTACCATTTAGAAGGTTGGCATTTTAGGTAGGCTTATCACTGCGCGGACCTCATAGCTGCACGTTTATGACTGATAACTTATAGAGGTTTTTTTAAGTTGTAACCATGTGGGGGGCTTCCGTAGAGTTACAACTATAATCTACTCATTCCTTGCCCAAATCAGTTCACAATCTCCACTCCCTTCCGGCAGATCGCGTTACGCCAATCGGAAGCGCATTCTATTCAGAGGACTCATGACCTATGAAATTAACTGCATGTTCAAAAAATACCTCCACCATGCCTCGGCGTTTGCACAGTAAAATTCCACAGGATCGTAATCTCCCGACTGTGTGGTTGAAGAATGTCGCTAACGAGGACCACAGGGATGCCCCAACACTCTCCGTGCCAGTAAGAATCTGTGTTAATCCCTATGAAAGTTTCTTCTGCTCCACGTTATTGACATCATCCATTACGCAGTTCAGCTTTGACTCTGTTGGTCAGTTGCGTACACGTATTTCGGAGGGTTTTTACGCTATTCTCAAAAATCAGTATTCACCCGAATTCGACCCGACAATATGCGCACACTTTTGTAGAGCTAACTGGACCCTATTCAGGCAATCACAGACCTGCGATCCTTAGAAACCCCGGTCGTCAATGATGTCCGGGGCACCTTTCTGTTATGTCATATGGTTCTTATGGTGTGTGCACAACATTTAAATTTAAAAGTTTCAGAAGAAGAAGCTGCGATTACTAGGTCAACTGAAAATTTATCATATTCATATGATAGCAGATGACAGACACGGATACTAACCACCACCTCCATCTCATTGCAAATTAAAAAACGTCACCAGCGGGTGTGACTGATGTATGCGCAGCGGCCAGCTTTCCTCAAGGACTGGCCAAAACCTTTTAATTTACCGATAGAAGAGAGTGTGCAAGTTCCAGGAAGCAGTTTAGAAGAAGAATATGCAATCACTGTAACAAGAA